AATTCACTCCAAACAACACACCATCAAACTAAATTAATTCATGAAACAGCGCCAGTCTCGAGCTCTTCTCTACTCTCCGAAGAACTCTGATTTTGGCGTTGTCCAGCCAACCCAAGGTCGCAAACCACTTGGGTTCGATTCGTCTTCATCAAGAGCATTTGACCTACAAATGGGTCAGACCCAATTACGCTCAGAACAGGTTCAGTTTTCGTCTAAATTGTTCGCCTATGTGAACTCGCGGGTTGCCTGCGTTGAAATTTTTGAATTTGATTTCTGGCCAAATCTGCCGAAGTTGGGGCTGGTGGTTGGGTAGGTTGTGAAGAGGGCAATGAGGGCTTCAAGGTGTTATGTTGGTCCGGCGGCCAAGGTGATTGGAGGTTAAGGAATTTGCCTTCAAGGGTAGTGGCTTGGAGGTGATGATTTTTTCATGTTTGTGACTGTTTTGCACATTTTTAAGAGTTTGGACCCATAATTGCAATTTATTATGTATTTTTCTTTTCTTTTATTGTTTTATTTTAATAGAAGAGTAAAACAGTCAAAAAATAGGGAAAATGACGTTTGCGCCAAAAATGTGAAAGGCAGGGACGTTCTGCGCCAAGAAACGAAACGTATGGACGTTTTGCACAAAACCCGTCAAATGTAGAGACGTTTTGCGCTAATTACCCTTGTAATTATAACTCCTATTTGAGCCACATTATATTTTTCATTCTTCTATTTATTTTCAACCACATGTTCTTCAATAAAATAATATTTTCTATCACATCAATAACTTTTCCTTTTTTTCAACCATATATTCTTCATCACATCAATCAAAAAAGTGCATTCTCTCCACAAAAATACCTACCAAACACTACGGAGACATAATAACAGTTTTTTATGGTCCAACTTGCCTATTTTCAAAGGTTAAGAGACTAGCAACAAATATAGTAGTTTGGAGCAACAGTGTGATTAGGGATGGCAAAAAAACCCGACAAAACCTATATCTGCGGGGCCCCGCCCCGAACGGGTTTTGGGATATCCCGCTTAATCGGGTTTTCAGGACCGGGCGGGGACGAGTAATGGAGGCCTCGCCCCATAAAAAAAAATTAATTTTTTTTTTAAATTCAATACTTTAAATGAAAATTTTCATTGGTTCTAATAAAAAATAGCAACTAAAATTATTTGTCTAAATCTAATGAATATGAACAATAAAAATAAATTATCAAAAACAAAAAATAAAATGGGTAGTAAACGAGACAAGGACTCCGCCCCGCCTTGCCTTCCCCGCCCCACCTCATTGTCATTCCTGAGTGTGATTGTTTATTAATTTTACATTATCATCAATCATGCTCCAATAGGGATGGAGAGACAATTAATAAATTTTTTAACAAGCTCTGCTTCTTGTACAGAAGCAGAGTGGCCAGAAAATGGCCAGACACTCACAGCAGGAGGGATGATTTATTTTTTTCAATATTTTACTCACATAGGCCCCACCCTGAGTTTTCTAGCCAATTTCTGTGGCCAATAATTATGTCCAAATAGAATTATTGCATTTATCATGTAGCAAGTGTGAAAATAAAATTCCCCAAAGAATTGTCGAGAAGTCTTTTTAGTTGCTACAATAAACGGTGATTAAAAATATTTTTGTTTTGAAAATTTAAATGAATATTTAAATCTATTATAAATTAATATTTCAAAAAGACTAAATTTAAATCTATAAATTAATATTTCAAAAGGACTAATTTTGAAATATTAATTTACTAAATTTAAATCTATAATTAATTAATATTTCAAATGAATATTTAAATCTATTATAAATTAATATTTCAAATTATATTCACCCATCCCAATATCTAGTCTTGGGTAAAATTATCTAAATTTTAATATTTAAAATTCAAATTCCTTCCATTTCCATTAACCTCACTGTATTGTGGAGAAAGAGATCATTCTTCTCTTCTAGAATTTCTTTGACATCGCACTTTTTTGGTCTCACACGTTATAAATTTTTTCAACCTCCATTAATTCACTTAATTGAGTTTGCATTTATATTCATCTCACAATTTTACATCTCGACTATGATGGAGTGATAAACGTCACATTGGACTGCTATCAAGGTGATGCATACACCAAAGTCGTTTTAGACTTCACAACATAGTGCATGACACTTCACGAGTCTCATGGATTGTCGTACTAGCTATCACGACAAAATAAGAGGGATAAACAATATAAATTCTACGACAAACGATATCAATTCTACGACAATCTCATTTTGTTCATGTATACATGCGATTGCATATATAACTAGATAAATGTGGAGAGAGAATAACCAATTTGCTGAAATTTAAGATAGGATACGATGTGAGATAAAATATATCTATAAAAATAGGATATGATGGGAGAGAAATATATTTATATTGTATCAGGTCCCGTCAACGTATATTCACCAATTTGAATCGAATTCATTATCTTCTTCTTCAATTATTTATTTTTTGAATTGTGACTTGATTTCTACGAACTTTCTCGAAATTTGATTTTTTGAAAACGTATACTTAAATTTATGTTAGGTGCGAATTTTTCTAATATTCCACGGGATTAATAATTACCTTCTCCAATTTTCTAAAATAAGAAGAAAAATTGTTCACCTTTGATCCCAAGACAATTAGGTTATTCCACACGTGCCTCTTATTTTATTTATTTTTAATTCCAAACAAATTTATATATTTTGACGTGTAGGTTTGCGTGCATCTGAAGCCTGAATTACGTGCGTTATGTTCGAGGCGTATTAACTAAGTCGAAATAAATTACTTTTAAGTAACTTTTATGTTGAAAAGTGAGTTTAAAGCAGCCTTCATCCAGGTAAAATAAGTAATTTATTTTTAATTTTAACTAAAAAAAAGTAATTTATTTATAAGCTTGGCCAAACACAATATACAAATTAGTCCAACAACAAAACAAAACCTTTAACAATTTTTACAATTTTGTGTTTTCTTTGAAGTGAACATTGGTTAATTAACTATTTTCAAAAGATAAAAAATGCGCTTAAACTCTAATTACTAATGCTAAAATAAACCCAGTGAAAAAAAATTGTAGAGCATATTTTCAAAGATACCATGTTGAATAGAATTCGAAAAATATTTAACACTAACAAATGACAAAGACATATTGGAAAATGACCATATATCTTTTAAATTATTTTGAAAAATATGTTTTACGGGGAAATTTTGTCGCAATTTATCCAATATTAGACTAGTGATGTCCAAACGAATAACCAAACGTATACGTTAAGGTACGTGAATGAAAAAAGAATATTAATCCCATCCAGCTAGAATTAGTCTTTGCTGGACGGTCCAAATCTCACCATTTTTTATCATGTCGAGTCAAGTTCAGTAGCTCAATCATGTTCATTTTGACATCTTGCTAGGCTGCTTACCTACATAAAGAAACTAAATGCAAAATTCAGCTCATTTTTGTGCCTAAAACTCTATAATTCCATCCATGGCCCAAATGAGTGTACTGGTTTCCAAGAAGCTGAACTAAACAAGATTTACCTAATTACTCGCAATTATTACATCTAATTCACTAAAAATACAAATCTCCTTTTTTGACTTTTACCACTTTCCCATTTATTTTATTTATTTCCAAATACAAAAGCACAGACATCTATGCCAACATAATTTTTATAATATCAAGTTGCAACCTTTTTTTTTTTTTTTCTTTTTTTTAATTTTTTAATTTTTACAATTTTAAATCATATTTTTATTATGTATTTAATTTATTTTATTTTATTCTAGGGTTNTTTGTTGATCCGCTTTTGTTTTAAAATAGTCTGTCAATTGATCTGTGTTATTGAGCTAATTGAGGTCACTGATGAGTAGCTCTTGGGTGAAAAACCTCCTCCCAAAGAAAATTCCCAAGTTCGGATTTTTATGAGATGGGCTGTTGTCAAAAGCAGAAAAAAAGAGATTTTTGACGGTGAAAATTATATACATGAATATATAAATACATATATATACCGATATACATATAATTTTGAGGTGGATTTATTGTTTTGATTTGATATGGGTGGATGTTTTCCATGCTTTGGATCATCGAAAACTGAAGGAAATAATAGTGATAAAAACCAATTTTAGGAAATATTTTCATCTTCATTTTTATGTTGCTTTCTTGTTTCTTTTATAAATCTGATCCGTGGTTCTTTTATCTATTTTCAATGGTTTGAGTGATATCGATATTTTATAGATTTATGGTATTAAATAATAAATTAAATTTTTTGTTTTGTGTACTTGCTTCTTTATTTTAGTTTGATTTCTAATGAAGCAGAAGCAGCGGTATTTCTTGTTTTGGGGGTGGGTGGGTTTTGAGGGATGGGTTTGGGAATCTGCCTGTAGTCAAGGTCCTGCAAATGTTTTTTGAATAATTGTTGTTTACTTGCTGTGAATTTCAGTAGAATACTACAAAACGAAATGGTATCGATAATTTCCTGTTCGAATAAACTTTATCCTAACACAAGTGGAAAAAGTAGTGGAGATGACTTATTTTTAGTTGGCATGTTGAAAACATGAATGTTCAACTCTGCATTTGCGTAATTGTATTGTTTAGGCTGGTGTTATTTTCGGTAATTACACTTCTAGTAGATATAGCAAAATGGAATGAAGTTATGAAAAACTAGTCAGGTAGTCAACCCCAAATTTATTTAGAATGAGGGTTATTTCTTGCTTGTTGATTTCTGCATTTGCTAGTGTAGAAGATATCATAGAGAAGTGGCATGTCTGAGCTTTGATTTTATGTTATATTTGAGGTATACTTGAGAAAATAAAACAATGATAAAAGTTTACAGCTAGATATCATTACCTTGTATGGTTGAAGTTGCGGAATCAATTCAAACTACTTTTCTAAGTTATATTAGCCCTACTCTGGTCTTGTGTGGATATGCAGGAGGGGATGCTCCTAGGTTTGTGTAGGGATTGTGTTTGTCTATGAGAATGGATTCCTTTTCAAGTTAATTGTTCTTCAACAGCTTCATGTTCACTGATTTTCTTTTCGTTTATATTCCATCCTCTAAACCTTCCGCTTTTGCTCTATATTTGCCAGATAAATCAAAATCTCGTAATAGCATTGATTCTAAGAAGGAAGCAACAATTCCAAAAGAACCAACAGCAAATATTGCTGCACAAACATTTACATTTCGTGAGCTTGCTGCTGCTACAAAAAACTTTAGGCCAGAGTGCTTGCTGGGTGAAGGTGGGTTCGGCCGAGTGTACAAAGGTCGGTTAGAAAGCACTGGACAGGTAAGTTATCCTAAAACACATCGTAAAGTAGCAGGACAAATTTCATTAATGCTGTGTGTTTGGCTTTATGTCTGCATGAGGAAAGAAGTGGGTAAGAAAATATTGTTGGTCACCCAACTTTAAGGGAATTTAATTTCAATTTGCTCGTTAAAGCTACATTTTTGTTTCAGTCACCATGGTGGATTCCTTTTGTAAAAATAACAAAAATGCTTATATGGATAAGGGTAGTCTGACGTGGCAATTTGAACAGGTCTAACAGGAAAATAAAAAGAACAGAAAAACTGGGAAAAAAAATGTATACCATTGTCCTTGCCAAAGTCGTGCTTTTCTTTTTTAAAATTTAAATGTTTTAGCCCTAAGTTGTGTTTTCCTTTAAAACCACACTTTGAATGGTAAATTTTTATCACTTCAAAGTTCAAACACACTTTAGTTTATTACTATATGGCAAGCCAACATTACACTTCAACGGTTAAAAATTGCCACGTTAGACATTCCGTTATCCACATTGCCATTTTCATTAATTATATTAATGGAAACGAACATGATGTCCTAACTGAAATAAAAATGTAATTTTAGTGAGCGGAATGAAATAAAATATTAAGTTGGATAATCAACATGAGACTTCGAAAAAAAGTTGGCTGGCTGACAGTGGTTTTTACCCGGGAAGTAACTGTTGCTCCTCTTCATTTCTCCTATTTGACAAATGAAAGTTTCTTGGAATTATCAATGACCAAGTTGTATCTTCACTTTCCTAACTTCTAGTTGGGTAATATGTGTAGGTAGTTGCGGTTAAACAGCTTGACCGGAATGGCCTTCAGGGGAATCGAGAATTTTTGGTGGAGGTTCTGATGCTTAGCCTATTACATCATCAAAACCTCGTCAACTTGATCGGATATTGTGCTGATGGGGACCAACGGCTTCTTGTTTATGAATACATGCCATTGGGATCTCTAGAAGATCATTTACATGGTCAGTTCTGGCATATAAATTACCCATCTAATTTTACACTAGAATTTTATTTGACCAATATGAAGTTGATATGTCTCACTCTCGCAGTTGATTATGAGTTTAACAAAACTGGTTTAAATGAAGCTTGGAATAGTTAGTGAAGATTTGATTAATATTTTATGAGCAAAATGCTTGGTCAACGTCTTGAAAACATTAGGTTTTGAATATACGAGCCACTAGATCTTAGTTAGAAGAATACTGAGTGTGTATTAAGATAAACCTGATTCTGCAATACATTTTTGGAGCAAATATGCGTACTTTTAATGTCATTTGTGCTCGTTATCTCTCGGTAACTATGAATGCTCGCCGTCACACATATGTTCATGCATGTCCAACTCTGGATGCACTTATGAGCTGATTGTGGGGTCCTGGTTGTCTGCAGCTTTCAATCTATTTAGGCATTGGATATAAAAGATTAAATTCCTTTTGAAAGAAATACACTCTCTTTGGACGTATAAACATGTTTCTCTTACTATAGACTCCTGGTATTTGAAAGGACAGCGGGGGTTATCTTTTTAACACACAAGTGTAGCATGCTCAAATCTCATTACTAGTAAAGCTACTTCTGAATATCCAGGATGTACATGTTTCTTTTCCGATGTACGTTAAATCTGCACCATATTTTTTTCCTTCAGGGCAGAATATAGTGATTATCTCTCGTAGGGTATGAATGTGAAAATGAAAAACATAGTTATTAAGCTGCCAATTAAGTTCTTTTATTTTTTAAGTAAACCACTTCTATGATAGGAGCTTTTAGACTCCTATGCAATAGTGTAGTGGGAGGGTTTGGTACTGTCCCCTACCCATTTATTAATATAGAAATGAAGTTCGAGGGGTAGTTTAGGCATTACATCCTAACAAGGATACAAAAAATGAAATTGTGAAATTTAAACAAGGAAGTACTACTCCCCTTACCCATTTGGATCCTATTCTTAGCTTACCTACGTTTGTTCTATGCTAGCTTACATTAATGGAGCCTATTTTAAGAAAGTAGATATTCTGCTACTAAGTTGCTGAACTGAAAAACCCCTAATTTGGGCTTTCTGTTTAGGGATTCTTAAATATTGAAGGCCAAGCTTATCCGTTCTTAGGGTACCCTTACCATACCCCTCTATATGAGTCATTTCCACCACTGACTTACTCTTAATCTGCAGCCCTCTATTTGCACACCAATCTGCAGCCATGTTAGTTTCTCTTGGTATATGAGTAATTGACCCCCTTAATTTCTGTCAACATTCTCCTAATGTCTTCCAGTAAGTACACTGCTTCCCATGGCCCTAGATGCTAAGTCCTTATAATGTTAGCTAGACTTGATGAATCCGCTACCACTTCTAGCCTTTCTATCTGTTTCTGCTTGCACATGCTCAGTCCCTTATGGATTGCCTTTGTCTCTGCCTTGAGGCTATTACAATTTCCGTAATGTTTATGGAATGTAAAGACCAATCAACCCTTATTATCTCTCAGTCCGTATAAGCAATTTGATCATACATCCCACCCTCCAAATGATCCTTTCCTGCTGTCATGCAGATATGCCTATGTTCGACATAATTTCTTTCTATCCATATAAACCATAACACAAGGATTGGTATTATTATTCTTATGTATCCCTTCCACACAAACTGGCCTGAATACCTCCAGGTTTGAAATGCCAATCCGATATATTGCTTGGGCATGTTTGCTAGCTTACATAACATTGACTCTCTCTATAAAGGACTTGGTCTCATAGTGATGATAATTGAAATGAAATTGTTAGCATGTTTTATCTTAAATCACATCGACTCTCTATGGAAAAGACTCGTTCTCATAGTGATGATATAGATTTATGCCTTCAAAATGATACTCGGATAATATAAACTAGCAGGAAACTAAGAAATGTGGAGGTGAATAAGAGAATAATGAAAAATTAAAGTGCAGTTTATATCCGATATTAGATCATACTAGACAGTTAATAACAATATTTGTTGCTTCCTTTCTTATTTAGTAGCGTCCATTACCATCCATTCCACCTTACCAAGCATGTCATAAGAAAGACAGAGGTATGGGATAATGGAGGCGAAAAATAATGTTGATAGCAATGTAAGCAGTCCTTGATGGAAGAGAGATGTCCTAGGTTGATATTGTATCTAAAGCTTTTTGAAAATGATTGTTCCTCGTGGTTATAATTGATATTTGAATTGTCATGATGTGATCGTTATTGAGGATCCATTGATTTCTATCCTTCTTGTCAAGAACATGTCAACTTTATCATATCTTAATCTGCTTGAATTATGAGAGGCCACAAGGTTTTTCTATTATTTTCCTAGAGAGGATGCAGTAAAGGCTTGGATTAACTTACAGTCCAATTTCTCATTGCAATTTACTCGTGGAGAAATGGATATTATAACAATCTCTGACAACCATTTTGCTTTTCATTACTAAGGTTTGTGCTTCGTTTCATGGTTTTTCGGTCTTTTTTTTATAGTCATTGGCATCTGGATTTTATAGTAAATTAACGTTTGTGCTAGACATTCAATTGATGATTTAATCAAGCACTTGTTAGCGGACTAAGCATTGTTCGTGTTATATTATTTTAGTTATATGAATAAATTTTTTAAACTCATTTTCATTCATTGATTAATTTTAAATCTGTCACTTGGGTGTTTGATAAACCCTAGTTGTGGTGTATGGAATAAATTATGGAAGCAATGAAAGTCCATGTATATTGGGGAATATGGCTTGACACTGTACAAGAATCACCAGCTAATTTTCTGTTTAGGCTGAACAGCTAGTGCTATAAGTGTGCGCTTATGATTGATGACCAGGATACTAAGTTTGATACTCTAGAGCACCAAAGTGATTTATGCTGCTGACTCTAGACACAAGTCTTGTTTTGGATTCTTGACCTGTGTGCTTGTACTTGGGTGAACGATTCTCTCTCTCTTGTGTGCACGTGCACGCGCTCAGAGAGAGAGAGAGAGAGAGAGAGAGATGCCCTGATTACATCATTTCTTGTTGAAGTTTTCAAGAATGCACACTCTTCTGCATAAGCGCGTGTATAAACTGATAAGTTGTTGTCGAATGCTTCATGGTTGCTCTTGTTTAGCGACATAGCTGGATCGTCAATAATTAATGAACTTGTGGTTGCACATAGATCTAATCAAACTCCGACTTGTTATTCTGAGAACTTGCCTTCCTGCAAACAGCACATAAGAATAACCATACTCTTGCAAATAACCATATTATGGGCCGGTTTTTGTTCTTTCTTATGCTACTAACAGCAGAGTAATACATTATCTACATGCAGATCTTCCACAGGATAAAGAACCTTTGGACTGGAATACGAGGATGAAGATTGCAGCCGGTGCAGCTAAGGGACTGGAGTATTTACATGATAAGGCCAACCCTCCAGTCATATACCGAGACTTAAAATCGTCCAACATCTTACTCAATGAGGGATATTTCCCCAAGTTATCAGATTTTGGGCTCGCAAAACTGGGTCCAGTTGGCGATAAAACTCATGTTTCAACCCGGGTGATGGGGACATATGGTTATTGTGCCCCGGAATATGCTATGACAGGTCAGCTCACTCTAAAATCCGATGTTTATAGTTTTGGAGTTGTCTTCCTTGAACTCATCACAGGTCACAAGGCTATTGATAGCACTCGTCCACCTGGGGAACAAAACCTTGTTGCATGGGTACGTGGTGCTCTTTTTAAGGTTAAATTTGATTTTCCTATGTGGCTTGCTTCTTAATAATGCTTAAGAATTATTTGCTTGCAGGCAAGGCCTCTTTTCAAGGATCGAAGGAAGTTTCCAAAAATGGCTGATCCTCTGTTACAAGGCCGTTATCCAATGCGTGGACTATATCAAGCACTTGCGGTGGCTGCCATGTGCTTGCAAGAACAAGCAGCCACGAGACCTTTAATTGGGGATGTTGTCACTGCCTTGACATATTTAGCATCCCAAACTTACGATCCAAACGCACCCACTTCCCAGAGTAACAGAATTGGTCCTTCGAGCCTGAGGCATAGGGACGACAGAAGGAACACATCTGATAGAATGGATGGCCTGGACGAGCCAGGTCGTGGTGGCCAAAACGGTTCCCCTGCCACCAATAAGAACTCGCCTGATGTCAGAAAAAGAGATTCTTTCCCGGAATTCAACACAGGTGCAGAGTTGCGAAGAATTGAAACTGGTGGTGGATCCGGGCGGAAATGGGGTTTAGACGACACTGATCATCCCGATTCCCGAAAAGACAGCCCTGTCAATGCTGGTAGAGCTAGAGAAACACCAAGAAACCGAGATCTAGACAGGGAACGAGCAGTTGCTGAGGCTAAAGTGTGGGGCGAGAATTGGCGAGAGAGGAAGCGAGGAAATGCAGCAGGAAGTTTTGATGCTACAAATGATTCATTGCGCTAAAGCCTTGATATGTCATCGATATACTATGACAGCCATTGTATCTTTTGAGGGTCGTCATGGGACAACAGAAATGCATTATCTTGTGTTGTACAGTTCCTGGTTCTGATTTGTTCGAGGGCGGGAGGCCAGAATCATTATTATCTATGCTGTCCATTATCGTGAATTCAGTTTAGATGGAATACTTAAGCCGAAGGATGCTCACTTGGGAAGAAGAATATGGAAGAGTGTTAGCGTTGTATGCAACATGCTATTGTATGTATTTAAGGAGATTTTCGGGAAGATGTCTGAATTATGCTCCATATGTTATGTTAGTGGGTGTTGTTTTCAAGTTCAATTGATCCATGTTACAATTATTGTAAATCTCCAATACGTTTGGATTTTACGAGTCAACTTTGTTTTCAGCCCTTTATAGAAGAGAGCTTTATTCTTCTATGTTTCTCGTTCTTCTTCGCTCTCAACCTTTAACCCTCTGTGTATCGCCGACCATGACTTTATTCAATGCACCAAAGTTGCTAGACTCGTAATTTTCAGAATTACAAGAAGTCCCCAACAAAATCATAATCCCAGCAAATACCATAAATTAACTTTATATTTCAGTCAGTACAAATAAGCCTGGTCCAAAACTGGGGCATTCCTAAGATCCCTAGATGACTTAAAATTCATTCTACGGATCTCAGCAACATCGCTGGGGCTACAATCTGTGTACATCAGATTTATACAGTAACACTAATAAGCAATCTAGAGGTAGTACCACGTTACTCGTGTGAAGAGGCAGCAGCTGCTGCTAAAATAATCCTTGACAGATCGAATGCTCAACTACGAAATTCCAAAATGACAAAAATGCTGACTCCTTGGGTTAAAGACAATACTGAAGCACCAAAAAACAAAAAAATTGCCACCCCGATCAGTCAACTTCATTTCTTTTTCTTTCCCTGCCAACAATCACAGCTTTTGTTTAGTCACACAAACACTGATATAGAAGCAAAATTCTGAAAAAAATAAAATGAGATAACCAACAAAAGAGAACCACGTACTGAGTTCACATAATCATCCATTAATAATTGCTTTCGCTTCTTCTGTGTAGGTGGGCTCTCAGCAGCTTGTCTAGCAATGTCACGTTTGGATGGTGTCGCATTCTATTAAGAAATGAAATTGAGAAAGGTTATGGGCAAAAAGATCACGGGGGCCAAACATTGGCTTCCAATGATGATCATTTGAAGAGTGAGCGTGTTTGGCTAAGCTTAAAAATCTGTCAGTTTTAAGTGGTTTTTTTCCAAACATGTTTTGGTAACTTTCTTTCAAGTAAAAGAAAAAGTTATTTAGACTGAAAATAACTTACCAAACTGTAAAAATTAGCATTTTTCAACTTTAACTAACAAAAGTAAATTACATTAACAATTGTCTACTTATATATTTGTAAGTAAACTTTTTAAGCTTTGCCCAACGTGCTATCATGAAAGATGATTGACAAACCTTGGCTAGTTTCTTCTCTTTACGAGCCTGTCTCTCCCTCTCATCATATTCTTGGTTTTCCCTCTCCACCAATCGAATCAGTGTATCACATCTCCTTGCAAGTTCTTGAGTTGTACGTGACTTCACAAACCAGTCAAATCGAAACAAGGGTGATGTACGAAAGGCTGCCTTCAACTCGTCCCAGTTACCATACCCTAGCTTGTGAACCATGCATATCTGTGGAAGGAAACAATATATCCAGTAAAAGAGACCACAAGACAAACTTGAGACAGAATTGGAATGACAAATAATGACTTGAAGTAGCTCAAAATTATCAGTACGTCTCACCATGAAACGATCGCACTCTTCATTGTATAATTTCCCTTTGTTCTGACCATACTGAATCCTTAATTCGAGCCATGGATTCTTGTAGCGATCCAATTTTTTCCTAATTGCTTTCATGATCTCATCTCTCCGTGAAATTCTAGCCTCCCCTCTTTCAATATTCTTAATAATTCTATCATAATCTGGAAAAATCAAATTTGCCCAAATTAAAATAGTATTACTTAATTTCAGTAACTGAGAGACAGCCTAAAAATAATCAATATTAAGTTGGTTATAGATTCTTATTCAAAAAAAACTAAGCACGAACAAAATTACAACTTACCATTCAATTCTTTGTATCTTTGCTTGAAAACATGTGCATATCTTTCAACTTCCTCCTCTGTTTTCCCTTCCATCTCTGATGCAATACTCTTAATATCATTTCGACCGTACTTTTCACAGGCCCTAATGAAAGTATTGAAATCTCTTCTGCTCCATGTTGAAAATCCCTACATGCACCAAAATTTTTCAGGTAAATCAAAGAAAGATTTCAAACTCCCACAGCACGTATTAGATAAAAACTACTCACTTCTTCCAGCAGTTGCTCCTTCTCTTCCTGCTCCTCTGCAGTCAATGGCTCTCCTGAGTCTATAGAGAAAATAGCACATAAAGACTGTCCAATAGGAAATCATCAACCAATAAAATGAATTCTTGACGAAAGGAGCTAACAAACCTTCAGGTTCCTCCACCTCTATTGTATCTTTAATTTGATTCCTCTGATTTGCTTGCTGAAATGATGAAAATGTCACAAGAGAACCTTACAATAGATGTAAACACAAAAAGAATCGAAAAGTCCAAGACAATACCCACCATGAGGTAGCGCACTTCTTTCTCATACAGCTCGCTAAGACGCTGATTATTAAAAAATTGAAAGTCGTGCCTGACAAAGACAATACATTTTAAGATGCAGAAACAGTAGCATGTATCAAGTAAACAAGAAATCAAAAGATGCTTACAACTGAGGCATGCGGGGAATTCGAGGCTCTTTTGTCCTTGCAGGGCCACTTTGGCGCATTGTTTGCTTGAAGTATTCAGATTCCGAGTAACTACCGACATAATAAAATGTGTTACTGTCCAGGCAACAAACACCTCGATATATATACACAAAACATTGGCAATTGAAGAAATGTACTTGCGCTTCCGTTCTCGTTTTGGGGGTTCAATCCAATTATCACTGGCGATTTTCTTGAAGTCTAGCTTGTTCTCATCCTTCATCAACCAAGAAATTTGAAAAATAACAAAACAGAAATTAAGGAACTAGAGGAGAAATAGAGAAAGAAGCCATATTAGACAACCATAAGAAAAAATTAATTAAACCAACCTTCTCATCATCGAAATCATACAAATCAGCAGCTGCAGAAAATCCAATACGCATTATTAGTTGCACAAACTAACAGCAGCAGATGAATCTAACAAAAATCAAATAAACTAATTAGAGAAGTCAATAAAAGAAGCATACTATCATCCATTTTGAATTTGATAGCATCTTCTGTAAATTTTTTCATCTTGGCATCAAGTTCAGCTGTTGCCTCTTCTCCCTTTGCAATAATCCTATCTATATCTTCATCTGTGATAGTGCTATCTTTGCAGCTGAAAACCATTTCAGCACCAAATCTGACCATTTGCAGTAGCTCATCCTTGTTAACGGCTGCAGAACACCATAACGAAATTAAAACACAATGCATACTTCTGAAACTAGCCGATGAGGAGCAAGAACTGAGGATAAGAAAGTCTCACTCTTTTGCTCTGCTAGTCGCCCTTGCTGGATAACCAAAGCATCCAGTGCAAGCTTTTTATAAGCCCTTTCAATGACTTTTTCCTCAATAGTATACTGTTATGTAATTGATTTGAATAAAGCACATCAGTACATCATGCCTCCAGGAAGCCTAATTGCAATAAAATCATAACACTGAAACAAATCAAACCTCGGTGCAGAATCGGAACACTTGAACTTCCTTCTTCTGCCCAATTCTATGAGCACGGTCCTGAGCCTGCAAATCCACTTGAGGGTTCCTGCAATATAATGAAGCCAAAACTCGGAACATTTAGATATTAAATTATAGCCCTCAATGCATCATCAAACAGCAAATGCAGCAATTCCTCACCAGTCACTGTCATAAAGAATGACAACATCTGCAGTAGCAAGGTTGATACCGAGACCTCCTGCTCTAGTTGATAATAGAAAGACAAATTTCTCACTTCCTGGCTTGTTGAAGACTTCAATGGAAGCATCCCGATCTTCCCCACCAGTATTTCCATCTATTCGGCAATAAAGATATCCTCGGAGCATCAAGTAGTCTTCAAGAATGTCCAGTAGCCGCGTCATCTATTTACAAAATCAAAATGAATTCGTCAACACAAACTCAAAAGTAAATAAAGAAACTAGGAAGCCCATATCAGAAAACTCTGACAAGGAATAACTCCAAAATATTTTCAACAATGTAAAGTACAATACAACCGATGGAAGTAAAAACTAGCTAAAAGTTATAGGTAGGGGAAAAGATATGAACCTGCGAGAATATCAAAACCCTGGAATCACGTTCCTTTAATTTTGGAAGCAACTTGTCAAGAAGAACCATTTTGCCTGCAATTTAGTTCACAAGATCGCAAAAACAAGAGATTTAGCAATCACCCATGTAACTCCAATCATATATAATGCTGATATAAATTAACACCCGTACCAGCATTTTCTATGAGATGTTCCCCAGTGGTATAAGGTGGCCCAGGTTCAGCACCTTGAAATAGATATGGATGGTTACAACATTTACGCAACTGCATAGCTATATTCAGAAGGCGCTTCCTTTCTCCACCAGCATTTACAACCTCAAGATCTTTCTGCAGCAGAGCCCTGTAGTATTGCTTCTGCATCTGAGACATGCCTACTTTAAGAATTGTCTCTTTCTTGGGTGGCAAACCTTTCTCCACGTCAGATTTCAACCTTCTCAGAAGGAAGGGTCTCAGAACCTTACATTGCAAACAGAATAAAACAAATTTAAGGATGAGCAAACAAATTGTTACACGACCACAATTATAATATTTGGACTTCTAATGAATTTATCAAGTCCAAACACAATTTCACACCGCCTATCAAATTATTGCTGTGAATAAGATGACAACATCAATTCATGATTAGACAATGAAGGGAACAGATACTACAACATTAA